TGTGGATGTGTAACCGACGTGATTCTGCAATCTGCATTTGGGGTAAAATTGGGAGTTCATAACCCACTTCAGTCTAATGTATGAAATATGATATGTCAAGAGCTTTGTAATGTTGTGAACAACCAATAAAAAAAATAAAATTAAAAAAAAAGACTTAGTGCAATGGATTAAGGACCAACACGATATGTAATCTTGACTTTAGAACTGGACTCTGAACCAACAGACATTTAGCACTGGTTCGCTCCAACTCATAGGAACCCATGACTGCACTCACTGCAGCTATAAAATGGGACGAAAGGCAAGGACCAGAAAAAGTCTCAGCCTTCACATAGCATTCTTGGTGTCAGACTGGCCTAGGTAAACTAAGAGATGGATTAAACCACAAGGAATCACAAAGACTCACCGCAGTGGAAACCTGTTCAGTCTGAAAGCTACCTGCTCTAAAATCCCTAAAAATCCACAGAGGCTAACAGAAGTGGCTAAAGGTAGCAGCCATCATGTCATATTCTAGAGGCCACTCTCTAGAACCACRTTATACGACACTTCCATGTTTTACAGTCGCAGAGCTCAGAGGCCTGCATTATTACCTTCTTATGCACCACTGTTAATCACAGGTACTAGTATCACGCTTAGTGCTTTTCCTCTATCATATGTTCAAGCCTCAGAATAACTCTTCCCAAAATGTATTATTATTGCTACTTTATAGGGGTAAGTAATTTCCCCAAGTTTATACAAGTAGCTAAGTGCTGAAACCTGAATTTCAACCTAGGTGAGTCTGAACCAGATGTCCACAGTTTTAAACTTATTGTGATGCTGCTTCCTGTGGGAAAAACAGGAGAGATGATAACTGCCACATCTTGATGAGCAGGCAAATCCTGCCCTTTTGAGAGTGGGAGGAACGTAGGAAGGACATGTGGCAGCAAGGTGGAGGACTGCTCTCTCCTYACTCAAAACAAGGATTCTGAAACTATTTCAGAGACATGGATATTCATTCTAGATGGTCCAAGAGGGCCAGTTGCCACTCTAGGTCACGAGCATTCCCAGATGCTTATAGAAGCTCCAGAGGATCTTATTCAYAGTTATGTCCAATTCTTAACACCAAAAGCTAAGACTTTGGCAAAGTGATACGCCTATTCTTAAGGCTCTTAATGGAACTTGCAGTTAAGGAAGATTCCTGATACTCRAATAACCTTTGCTTTTCTTGACCTAGTATTGCTTCTCCCAAACAGATCCTTCATGTAGAAGGTCCTGCAACTCTTTGGAGGGATGAAGAAATTGAGGCCAGATAGGTTAAAACACTTGTTCAAGGTCTCTGAGATAATAAATGGCACAGACAGGATTTAAAACCATACAGTCTGGTTCCAAAACCTGCGCCTCTCAACCACCATACTCTGCCATCTCTCTACACAGAACAAGGGATCAGCCTCTGGTATAAGCAGTAGAAAGGCCAGGAAGGCTAAGCCACATTCCCACTGCATATWTAATTTTCTTCAATCCTTATCCCATAGGGAGCACTAATACATCCATCCAGAGGCTAAGCAATGGTAAACACCTTGCTCAACACCATCCAGCTTTGTGATAATGGAATCTGCATCCTCAGCCCCACAATGCAAGTCCCATGCTGCTCAGATAGTGCTGCCACGTGCACTGTGACATTAGATTATTCTTCCCAGGAACTCTGAAGCAAGAAGATAGGTCGATGAGACAATACTGGATGGTCATAGCATCAATACTTGTGTTGCTTGCAGCAACAGCTTACAGTAAACACAAGACATCTTCTAGGCAGGGTGGTGGTACACCTGTACCATTCTCTGTGAATGAACAGTGTGGAGTGGACAAACTACAGAATTCACCCACAATAACTAACAGGCAATTCCATTCTGCTTAGAAAGTCAAGAACACAGAATGCTACCATATGAATGAACTTTGAAAACATTATGCCCAGAGGGAGGCAAGGCATAAAAAGAACCACAGACTATATGATTCTATTGATAAGAAATGTCCAGAACAGGCAAATCAGAGTCAGAAGTTGACATTGCCAAGGGCTGGGAGGTTGGGGGCATGGGGGACGTGGAAATTGACTACTACCAGATACAGGGTTTCTTTAGTGGTGTGATAAAAATGTTCTAAAATTAACTGTGATGATGGTTGCACAACTCTAYGCCTCTACGAAGAATGATCACATTGCACTCTGTGATGCGTGAATGATTGGTGTGTGAATTGATACTATCTCAATAAAGCTGCTACAAAAAAATAATGCAACAACATAGGAGTGACACCCCCATCCCACCCGCCCACTGCCACCCATCCACAGGAGTTGCTGGTACTCACTTTGACGCTTTCATGGAATCATCCGCCCAGCCGCCCAGCCTGCGAGGAGGCTTGGGAGGGGGAGCCTGTGATGAAAGAGAAGCCAAAATGATAGTCACTGGATGTGCACATTCAAATGTGGCTGAGGTTCAGGTCACCTAAACCAACAGTCAGTGTATCAAAGCACTTCCCTGARAAAAATACAAAAATAAAATGTATATGAATAAAAATATATAGTAAGCTTTCTAATTTACTATGAAAATCTGGGTGTTTTCAGAGCCTCCTGGTGGATAGATAAACTGGCACAGTGTTCGTGGAGGGCAATTCTCAGATGTGCACTGAAAGACTTAAAAATGCTCACACTTGTGTGTGTACACTGGGGATGGAACCCAGGGCCCTATGTATACCAAGCACAGACTAACTGTAACACTGAGGTCTGCTCCAGGTTGCTCCTGCTTTCTTAGCCAGTGATTCTAATCCCAGGAATTTATCCCAAGGAAATAACCAGAGGAACATGAATGCTGCTTCAATGAATAGTTGGAAACAACCAAAATGGTCAGCAATAAGGAATTAAATGGTAGAGTACATATGAAAGTAATAAAGATATGACTGAGCCTTGCTTCGAAGACATAAACATAATTCGTGGGTTCAAAGACTATTTGCCTAGAATGGACACATTCAGAAACCCAATGAATTCCTGTCCAGCACGTTTTAACTGAAAATACCAAGGGCACAACCACCAATCCACTAGGTTGCTTGAGGGGGGTAAAACAAGATAGAACATTGCCTAGTTTGACTTGCTCAGCATTTTCCCAAGATTGTTTCTGAAACTGTCAATTTCCTTTTTCTGAGAAATTTATAGAATTATAACTGTGGCTCTCAGTCTAAGGAGGTACACTGATAAAAGGACTGAAGAGAGGTGGGGGAACTTTCTACAAGGGCTATAAAAACACATTTTTTTAATTTTGTGGGTCTTATGATTTCTGGTGTAACTACAACAGCCAYAGGGATAAGCATGCAAAGGAGTGTAGCTGGGGTTCAAGAACACTTTACAGAAACAGGCAATGGGCCAGGTTTGGAGGGAAGGACATGGTTTGTTGACCCCTGGACTACATTGTGTGTCACAGAGGCCTAGTGGCTTAAAACCACACCTGGAACTTTTAAAGTGAATATCCCCTTCAAAGTGCCTTAACACCTTTATACTTTTGATATTKTAATTTTATACCAAGATATGTCTTTTTTCCTGCTTCTCAAGTAGCGCTCCAGCCTGCCAAGGATGGGTTCCATGTACTTGTTACATGTACTCTATGTACAGGCTGCCTGAGCCGCAGCCTGCTGGAATCACTGTTGCAAATCCAAATCCTGGGATGCCTGCATCCACTTAGCCTCTGGGAATGTAAGTAGCACTTCAGAGAAAACAAACTGAAGCTCTCTATGCCAAAGGCAGGCGAGAGCTGCTTGAAGGCTCCCATATACCTCAGCAACAATACAAATATTGAAGTGGAAACCACCTACTGTTTGACCATGCAGGAGGGAAATTCTAAGATGTACTAACTGATTATACCACTGCTTCCCGGGTCACTCCATAATCCTCCATCCATAGGCTGGAAGGGGAAGCCCTCTATCCCATAATTCCCCTTCACTTTTGCACAACTGACTGAGCCAGGGCTGTACAACACTCAATCAGAACCAGCTGGATTCCCTGTCCCAGGAATCTGGAGCTGAAGCACAGAGGCGAGGTGGCTCACACTGGAACTAAAAGGACCCTAGAATCCGAATAACCTAAGAACGCCACAAGCCAGAGGTGGGTGTAGGCAGAATCCAAGGACCCTGTCTGGAACTCTTCCAATGCACAAGGTACAGTGCTGGGGAGACAAAATGATAAAGTGAACTGAACTACACTGAGATCCCCTGAGTCTGGCCTGCAGTTATCTTTCCTGTGCTTTTGTGAATAATACCCTATACTTTACCCAAGGATAGGACCATCTTGTGATAATGTAAGTAATGTCATAAATTGATAGCCATGTTTTGTTTGGCCACACAATTTTTTGTTTTTGTTTTAAATTTAAGCTACCGTTTATAATATGGAAGATTTCCACATAAAAAAGTCACTTTCCAGCTTGTGAAAAACTGGAATATCCAGTAATGCTTGGGTTGAGCAGGAGCTGCCCCCTCTAGGCAGGACACGTGTACTGCAGTTTGCCACAGGTCCCACCCTCCCTTTCTGTCTCCTTCCTTACTTTTAAGTGACACTGCCATCCATTATTATTGCGTTGTGCTATTGTTTCTCTCTCAGTATAGAATTCTCTCTTTGTTCCTACGAACACCTAAAGTGGGAAAATGAAAACTATGTTACATGTTTTGAAAAAAATGGGAAATGAGAAAAATGGGARCGTGTTGATCTTTCTTACGTGTTCAGTGTGCAAACTGAAAGCACACCCGCCTTAGTCCTAGTCCCGTTCACTTACTGACACCTGGGTGTGTGGCTCCTGAACTAGATTCCCAGTGCCAGGATCCTCTGCCGTCTTCTCTTTTGCTCCAGATGTTGGGAAGAGCAGAGGAATCCAAGTAAAATCCATGGTGCCACGATGTGGGGAGTGTCCCAATCTATACAATGCCAAGGGTCCACAACAGGAGATGGCACGTGTGACTCCTAACACCACCTCTACCTTCTATAGTAGGGTGTGTTACAATGACAACAGGAGGAGCAGAGACTGCACTGGGACGGGATTGCAAAAGATTAGGCGGCATGGAGGAGGAGCACCGAAAACTGGGGAGGATTCAATCAGTGACTCCATGTTAAGAGCTTCAAACAGTGCCTGGCACATAACAAGAGCTCTAGCTTTCCCATGATCACTGCCATCATTATTACTTATACCCACATGGGACAGGGTAGACCATGTGTAGTAAAATATGCAATCAATGGGGGGAGTTACTCTACTAATGGGTGTCACGTGACTGACTAAAAGAGCTCCCTAAGAGTCTAAAACCCAAAATGATTTGCTTTGTCTCCTTGAACCAATCCCTAGGAAGCCATGGCTACTGGAGGGTGAGTGAGGGTCCTCTCTGCTTTAGGAAACACAAAGCCACGTTTTCTTTCATTTTCTCCCCATTACAAAATGGTGCTGGCAGCTGCAAAAAGCTCAGCACATACAAGTCACTCCTTCATATCTGGTACAGTTTAATAACTAGTTCTAAAATCAGAAGTTTTCTTTACTAAGGACAGATGCCTTCAAGAGTTGACATAATATTATAAAAATTGTATAGGCTGCTGATTTTCATTTCCCCCAAACATCAAGAGCTCCTGGGAGAGGAAGCCCAGAAAAGGTACAAAGAAATCCTGAGTGAAACATGCTAGAGACTACTGGGGTCCTCTCTGCTCACCCTACCCCACTGCCAGCAAGCCTCAGGAGGGCACTGAGGCAGGGGGAGATGGGGAGAGAGAAGCAGAACTTAGCTCTCTGCAAAGTGAGGCCGGAGCATCTAGGGAGATGTCAATCTCCTGATGGGGAATCCTTCCACTTGTTCATGGTTTAGAATTCTGGGCCCTAGGCCTGGAAATGTTTCTGTAAACACTGGAAATGTTTCTGTCATGTCTACATACAGATGCCCTGGCTGGATGACGCAGGCTTAATTAACTACTATTGCCAAATTATAAAGGATCTTCCCTAGAATTCAACTTTGTTCCCTTTTTATGGAGTTGGGCACTGTCCTAACAACAACAACAAAAAAAAGACGACATCACCCTGTCCCCTAATGTTACTCAGTAATGAGGTCAAGGAGAGGTAGAATTCAGGGAGTATCAGGTAGGTGAACTCTGTGACTGGGTCAGGATCAATCTGAAATCCAGGAGGACACGATGGAGGTGGTRGGTGGGAGGGAGTGAGTCCTGGCATTATTCCAGGGAGAGGACCCTCCAGGGTCCAAAGGTGAAGCTGAGGTGGAGTTTCTCAGCCACAGGGCAGCACTACCGACTTCTGCAGTTTCCTCGTCACCCTGGAGGACTTTACGGGGCCACTTTCTCCTGGGGCATCATTAAAGCAGCGCTCTGATGAGCATGCACACAGCTTGCAATACATGACCAAAAGCTAAAAATAACTCTACCCACCAGGGAAGTCCAGACAAGAAGAGAGGCCAAAGAAGCTTTATGGGAACTGGGGCTTGCCCTGGATTGGAAAGGTAAAGGAGAAAGCATTCCAAAAGCAACTGGATCCAAGGGTAGAGTGGGACCAGGGGTAGCACGTACTTCATCACCATCTTGGTGGGGGTCCTGGGAAAAACCGCTGGGCTGAGCCCTTCAACATCMATTACTTTTACATACAGGCCTTAAGTGGAAGCTGATGTAACAAGATCATAATGCCGCGGTTTGAAATTGAGTGCAAACGACCTGTTTGAAACAGAAGCAGACGCTGTTCTTGGTCAGGTCATCAAAAAGGTCTGGTGGTTCCTTTAGCACGGTCAGCCCCTGAATGCCTGGCTGCTCTCCTTAGGAACTCTGGTGATGTCTAGACACCTTGTTAGCTCTGTTCCCAAGAGAGTCCCAGGGCTCCCTCCCTGGTGCAGTCTGAAACACAGGACATACACCTAGACCAGACCACTGTGGTGACTCCTTCTAGCTGCCACAACTGCTGTGCTTTCTCTTCCCAGAGGTGGCAGACAGGATGCTGGGACCTGCAGGGGCCTGAATGCCACCACCAGCTCAAAGGTCCCTATTTGGACTGATGAGAAGTTGAAACCCTTTAGTCAGGGACCCTTCCATCTGAGATAGGGTCCTTCCCTTTCAGGTAGGGTCAGAGGAGACATAAATGCAGGGCTTATTTTTTCTTGGGTTTGTGTGCTCACATTCTCTGTATACAATCTTTGGGGCTATAACAGGGCATTTTCTTCCTGGAACCCATCTCCAGAACCAAACACCTGGGGGCATACTGCCAATTAGTTTCAGGGTGTGCTTTGGAAGAAACTGATTTGTTATCCCTGTAATAGGGAGGAGAGGGGAAAAAACTGGATAAGATTAGAGCTCAAATGACCTTAAGTGCCATAAGTAAGAGAAGGCCCGACCCTACAAAATTCAAAAGCACTGATTTAT